ATATATATATATATATATATATATATATATATATATATTCTTCTTTGTTTGGACTTATCGTATAAATTAGTTTGAAATTCTTAAACTAATCTTAGTGAATATTAAAGGGTATCAAATGGGGGGATACGGTCATATTTGAACGTGTTAAAATGAGTTCAAATGTTTTATTGGGTCATGAATTGATTATTTGGATAAAACAAATGACTAACTCAACCAATCCTACTCAAAATCATTCTTTTTATGTGTTAAATTTTTAAGAAAAAAATATTTAATCACCAAACCGAGTAAAAAAAAGTGTTTTCTTCATAAATAGAAATATAAAAAAAGTATAAAGTATAAAGGAAGAAATACACATTAAAGTCAAATTATCAAATTTGGCAGAAATAGCATGGGATAGCTACTTTTTAACATGGTATTTAGTTTTTATCCAGTATTTTTAATGTTGAGCAAAAATAACCACTACTCTATTAAAATTAATACGGAAAGACGTTTTTACCCTTTCTTCATGAGTGCTATGTAAATATTAAAGATATGGTGTCCTTAACATTTACACTGCGCACATGAAATGAAGGGCATCATGTCCTTAACATTTACACTGCACATATGAAGTTAAGGACTTGACAGTACACTTTGTCTTTAATATTTACACAACATTCATGAAATTAAGGACACCATGTCCTTAATATTTAGGCAGAATAGGTAAAGACCCCCCTAAACTTGACACCCTTTAATGAGTGTACACCTTAACTATATGTGATTTTAATTACCTCCCTATGCTTACTTTTTCGGATTTTATTACCCCCTAAGTTCTATCGTGTATACACGCGCCGTATACATGTAAATGCTTGCTGATGTGGCTGTACACGTTGGAATAATTCGGGTATCCAATTAAAATACCCGACCCGCCTTGAAAATTAATCCCTCAAATTTAACTCATCCTTTTACCATCGTTCATTTGGTCGATAACATAGAAAAACTAGGGTTCACTACTTCACTCCCATCATCAATGACAGAGACGATTGTGCGTTCTTGAGCTTGATTTTGTGAGTCGATAGGATTCTCCGTTGAGGTGCTGCTAAAAGTTATTGTGGAGGAGCTAAAAACTATTGGGTATCTTTGATTCTCGCCAATATTTCTACTGTTTTCACTCTGAGTTTGAAGGTATGTGTGCCTCTTTCTGTTAGGGTATAATCAGGGGTTTTATGTTGATTGTGACTTTTGCATGCATGCCGATTAGGGTAAAATTAGGGCTTTTATGTTGTTTGTTAATTTGTGGGGGTCTTTACCGATTACTATTTATTTGTAATCTTCTGTATATAAATTTACAAACTTCTGTCTTGAGAGTTGTTTTTTCTTTTTTTTTTATTGCTGTGTAGGGTCCCATGGATACTAAGTATGTGAATCTAAGATGGAAAATTGGTGGGATATTGGTGAGTGAGGTAGGACCTCTATATGTTGGGGGTAGGGTTGAACATGTGACTAATGTCGACTGTGTCCACTTGTCAATACCAGAGTTAGTTGATTATGCTAAGGATTTTGGGATTACAAAGTTAGGAAAAACTTATATTATGAGTGCTAAGGGTGTCAGTTTGATTGAATTAACAAAAGATAGGGATTTAATCGACCTTGCTATGCTATTAAACAATGGGGACACAATAGACATTTTTGTCTCTTCTGACTCACAATTTGAGGAGGTGGATGCTATAGAGGGTAGCCAAATAAGCCATGTGGGCGAGCCTTTTAATGCATCTTCTAGCACACAACAAGACAATAGGGAATCTTTTGTTCCTTGTGGCCCTCCTTTAAATACTACTGCTGCAAATCCAGATCTAGGGTTACCTACTCCTTTGAATACCACTCAAGAAGAGGATTTACCCATAGATTGGACTTCCTCTTCAGAGGAAGAAGAATCTGCTGCTGCTGATGATGATGTAGTAGACATTGCTGCTGATTTTCAACAAGTAGACCAGCTGGAGAAAAAGAAGAAATAGGGTTACCTACTCCTTTGAATACCACTCAAGAAGAGGATTCACCCATAGATTGGACTTTCTCTTCAGAGGAAGAAGAATCTGCTGCTGCTGCTGATTCTCAACAAGTAGAACCAGCTGGAGAAGAAGAAAAAATAGCATCTGGTGATGAATCTGAGAGGTCATTTGAATATGGAAGTGATGTCCATGAAGAGTTGAGGGTTGTTAAAGAAGATCTAAAGAAATATAGACAAAATAATAGGAGAAAACTTAGGAAGGAAAAACCTGATGGATTTTTAGGTGAAGTTGGAGTTGATGAAGGTTATGAGAACATAGATCAGCCCAAAAAAAATATGAGAGACAAATTAGGAGTTGATGATGAGCCTTACTATGATAGTTCAGATCCAGATAGTTTTGAATCTAAATTAGATCTGGAAGGGGAGGTTGATCCTGTATCTGATAATGATATAGATGATATGGGACAGTTAAGGGGAAGGAAAAAAACAAATAGAGTGGTTTATGATCCTTCTGCCAAAATTGTTACTTGGCAATTAGGGATGGTATTTGAGAATGTGAAGGAATTTAGAGAAACAGTTACCAAGTATGCTATAAAGAAATGTATTCAGCTAGTTAAGGATCCCAATGAGCCCTATAGAGACAGAGTTAAATGCAAAACTGGTTGTCCTTGGTTGTTGTATGCTAGCAGGGAAGGTAGGAGTACAAACTTCACAATCAAGACTTACAATCCCCATAAGACCACTTACAACTATCCGTGTAATTCAAAATATGTGGCAAAGTAGTTCAAAGATAGAATTACCTCACAAACTAGAATTAAAGGTTGGGAAATTCAGGATATGGTGAGAAAAAAACTTGGTTTATATGTTGGTAAGGCTGTTTGTTTGAAGGCCAAAAAGATTGTGTTGAAAGAGATTATGGGGGATCATGTTGTTGAGTTTGGTAGGATTCTGTACTATAGGAATATACTACTCAAAACAAATCCTGGTAGCATATGTGCAGTAAAATTGTAGACACAGATGATGGGAAGAAGCAGTTTGCCAGTTTCTACATTTATTTTGCAGCTATGAAGCAGGGGTTTATGGAGGGTTGTAGGAGATGTATAGGGTTAGATGGATGTGTTTTAAAGGGTGTTTGTAAAGGGCGACTGTTGGCAGTAGTAGCAAAGGATGGGAATAACCAAATGTTCCCAATAGCTTGGGGTGTTGTAGGCACTGAAAAAAAAAAGCAAACATGGATTTGGTTCCTCAGGATATTGCAAACTGATTTGAACTTGGGAGATGACAGGGAATTCACCATGATAAGTGACATGCAAAAGGTATGTACTACTATTTTTCTGTTTTTTTGCTGTTTAAATACTACTATTTTTCTATTTTTTTTTGCTATTTAACTACTACTGTTTTTCTGGTTTAAAACACTGTTTTTCTGGTTTAAGTATTACTGTTTTTTGGTTTAACTATTACTGTTTCTCTGTTCTTATGCAGGGTCTATGTTCAGCTGTTGAAGAGATTTTACCTGAGTGTGAGCACAGAATGTGTGCTAGACACATTCTGGCAAACTGGGCTATAAAATGAAGAGGGATTAAAAGGAGAAAAAGATTCTAGAGTGTTGTTAGATCAACATTTGAGTCTGAAATGAAAAGAAAACTAGATGATCTTGATAAATTGGGTCATAACATTTGTAAAGACTTAGTTAAATACAACAAAGAAAGATGGTGCAAAGCATTCTTTCAAACATTCTCCAAGTGTGACAGTGTTGACAATAACATGTGTGAAAGCTTCAATACTTGGATATTGGGCCCTAGACACAAGACAATCATATCAATGCTAGAGGAAATAAGGGTCAAAGTTATGAGTAGGGTAGCAAAGATGAGAGAATTTGCTGAAACTTAGCAGGATGGTGTATCTCCAATGGCCATGATGGTGTTCAATACTAATGTTGAGAGGTCAATGAGGGTTGACTTCATGTTTAATGGAGATACTGGATTTGAACTCAAAGATGGTCCATGCAAGTTCATTGTAGATTTAAGAACAGGTTACTGCAGTTGCAGGTTTTGGGAACTTAAAGGCATTCCATGTCCACATGTTATAACAGCAATGCACTTCAAGAGACTTGATCCTTCAGAGCATATTGTACACTGGTACAGGAAAGAGACCTACATGAAGGCATATTCACACTTCATACAACCAGTTCCTAACATGATAATATGGCCAGAAAGTAGTAACCCCAAGGTATTACCTCCTCCAATTCAAAATATGCCTGGAAGGCCAAGAAAAAATAGAAGAAAGGAAGTTGGAGAAATAAAAAGGGCTGGAAAATTATCAAAGAAGGGAATAACTATGACATGCTCCATTTGCAAAGCAAGTACTCATAATATGAGGAGTTGTCCAACAAGACCAACAAGTAATCAAGAGGTACCTTCCTACCTTCTTCCTTTATTACTATCTTCTTAGTTATTTAAGAGCTAATTCCTCATTTTCTCATATAATAGACTACTAATTGCTCACAACAATCAACAACAAAAACTTCACAAAAGAGAGGCAGAAAGGAATCTGACAATGCATCTACAAGTAAGGCATCTACTGGAGCAAAATCTGGGGGGGCAAGAAGCCACTACAAGAGGCCTAGGCTTCAAGGACATGGTGTATTTGTTGCACAATCTGGTTTTACAAGTATTAATGTAAGTGTATTTTTTTTGTCCTTACATTTTAGGCACATTTTATTGTCTAACTTACTATGTGATGTTATTGTCTACCTTTAAAATGTATCTTTTGGTTTGAATGTTATCAGCATGGTTTGCCTACAGCCAGAAAGGTTTATACTGGCCCTTTAATTGATTGTACCCATGTTACTGGTGATATTGGATATAAGCCTTCTAAAGGTTTGAAATGGAAAGGGAAGGAAGTTGTGACTCAAAGACAACTTCAAGTCCAAGCTACAATGGCTAGAATCAAGACAAGGTCCCAATCCGGTGGAATACAAACAAGATCTAAGGTTATGGGGAAATCTCCCTCCAAGAAGACCACTTGAATTTCTTTACTGTTTGGATGTAGTATTTGATATACTAGACTTCTTTTTTTTGTTGAATTCATGGGGTGATTGTTTTAGTTGAATTCATGGGGTGTCTGTTTTTTGTGGATACTGATGGTGGTACTAAACTTTATTTTGTGAACCTATTTGTCATGTATATGTCTAGTTGTATATGGACAGCATAGTTTAACTCTATGTCAAATTACCAGCTATGTTGACAAAATGTTGTGATTGTGATTGCTTGTTTTAGTGGATAGTAGTGTCGAACAACATATCATATTGTTTAACTTCTATTACATACTACCAGATAACCATTATTTGTACATGAACAAAATCAAATTCAAAAGTAAACTGAAAAATAATAGAAACTTTAGCATTCTTTCCCTCTTCTATAGTTTGTTAGTCTTCTTCAACAACCTAGAAATAACAATGTTTTCTTGCTCCGGAAATGGAGGTTCATACCACTGAAAAAATCGACAAGAATTTGTCTTCGGATAAAGACTACATCCAAAGAATCGTCGCCCAGGATTTGCAGTAGTCCATGCAACTTTTAAAGGAGCTGGCTTGCCACATCTACAAAAAACATTCATCTTCTATCTTCCAGCTGTTGAAAAAATGACTGTTATTTGAGCAAAAAATAAGAGCCAAAAATAAGAGCCAAAATCTTAAGGGGAAATGGAATTTGGCTGGACAAAGATTGTGAGAAGATTGTGGTTGAAGACTTAGAAAGAAGCCAATAAATAGGGGTTGTTACCGTTGGGGGAAATTATTACCGTTAGGGATGGTAAATATTCAACTGCTGTGGCAAAAAATATACCCCCCACACGCACCCAGCCATTTGAACAAACTTCCACTGCCATGTGGCAGGTTAGGGGGGTATTAAAATCCGAAAAAGCAAGCATAGGGGGTAATTAAAATCATGTATAGTCAAGGTGTACACTCATTAAAAAGTGTCAAGTTTAGGGGGGTCTTTACCTATTCTGCCTAATATTTACACAACACCCATGTCTAGCACAAGGGTATTTTCGTCCGGACGAATAAAAATTTATTAAACACTGACTAAAGAGTAAATAAATTTTAAACAGTGACTAAAAATCTCTAATTAGTGGCTAACTGTGCACTTCATCCTCAAATTTGGGTGGGTTGGTCGGATTACAATTTTCTAGGCTAAAATGCTAAATTAGACACCTCTAGTACTTATCTAGCATGAGAAGTTCTTTAAAGATGGCAATTTAACTTTTCTCAAAATGGGGTGACAGTGACAGGAGCTGATCCTGGGTTAATATTTAGTTTAAGCTTTACACTTTCCCTTTCATGAATAATGTACATTTCTTGATATTGTTAGCTTTTACAACTCTGTTAAAGAGTAGAATGATATGTGGCAATTGACATCATTGTGAACGGATATAATTGTTGCCTGTTTGTTTGCTGGGTTTATATACTGAAAAAAATGAAGAAAAGCGAAAATTTCGTATGAAACTAATGGCGATTGTTGGAATAAGAGTAGCCTTACGTCGGTTTTCTTGGAACGAGAAATATGGAAGAAGGATGGGTCCAGCAAGAAATAGAATGGATTCTTTTACCCTTGGTTAATTATGTAGACTCTTTTACATAATAGGAAAATATAAATAAATAAAAAGGTTAGATTTTTTAATCAGTAGGTCGCTAATAGAAAAAAACGAGACTGGTTGGAAATTTTCCTTGGGCCAAGAAAATATGGACTGGGCTATGACCCAAAGCGCCTGAAATAACTGGGCCAAGAAAGTCAAGAATTAGTATTATGAAGAAAAATTACCAAAATAGTCGCCCACCCAACCGCTTAAATTTAAAATATCCGATGAAGATATATATAAGAAGGATGAGTCTAGAGTTAGCGAAGTAAAAATAGCACGGTCTAGCCAGTTTTCGGACTGGTCATTCAAAAATAGCCAGCGTTTACCAAGTCAATGAAAAATAGCCACTAATTTGCTGCAATAGAGATCGGTCCAGCATAATATACTGGAGTTCGGTGCACCTGTGTATGAATTTCCAGCATATTATGCTGGACCGGTATACTTTGCTGGCTCCAGCATAATATACTGGAGTTCGGTGCACCTGTGTATGAATTTCCAGCATATTATGCTGGACCGGTATACTTTGCTGGCTCCAGCATAATATACTGGAGTTCGGTGCACCTGTGTATGAATTTCCAGCATATTATGCTGGACCGGTATACTTTGCTGGCTCCAGCATAATATACTGGAGACTGGAGCACCGGTGCTCCAAACTCCAGTATACTATGCTGGACCGGTATATTATACTGGAACTCCAGTAAATTATGCTGGAGTATTTTTCCGAATTTTGAACAGTAATTTCGTTCAGATTTATCTTGACATGAAAAATGGCTAAATTTCGATTACTTTTGAAATTGGGCTATTTTTGAACGATCACTTGTAAACCTAGCTATTTTTGAATTTCGAAAAGTCACAAACTCCAGCGCCTGTTTTAAAATTTTCTTGTGCCAAGAAAAAATGGAAACGGGGCTATTAATCAAAGCCCATGCCATAACTGGTCCAAGAAAGTTTGGATGCCTGGCTAGGACCAAATGCTTCACAAATAACAAGGCCGAGGAAGTTTTGGTACCTGGGGCTAAGAACCAAAGGCAGCTATACGATTACCAGTGGAAGAAATTCAGGATTAGTTTGATTTATAGTTGCTAATTGAAAATTAGTTATAATCTTAAAATTGATTAAAATTTAGCCACTTTTATACATAAATATGAAATCTGGACTAAAATACCTTTAGGTGAAATCTGGATATATTCCAGCTAATATGTTGGAGTTAAAAATTTTACATATGAAATTATAATGTAATGTCCTTAAATTCATAATGTGCTTAATTATCACAAGGAAAACATGATCTGCGGACAAATTCGTCACAAAATTGTGATAGAATTCACCAATGCTGAGAAAAAATGTGTAGACATGTGGATTCCATCACAAATATATGAGGACTAGTAAAGGATGACCCATGCTGAGTATGAGCAAGGCCTAATCACTATATTGAATATTGAGATTTTTTCTAAATCCTTAAATAAATAGCTCATTGGATAAGGTGGGCAGTTTTGACTGAGGATAATGCGCAGGAGTTGAAGGGGCGGCTGACGGCTATGAGAGCCTGGAAGAGTGGTAGGGATGCTAGAGCTATGTAGACGACGACGGTGAAATGTATTAAGGAGGCAGCGGGAGAGGTGTTAGGGATTTCGAAGGGTTATTCTGGCGGGCACCAAGATGACTGGTGGTGGAATGACGTGGTCCAAGGTAAAGTTGAAGCAAAGAAAGCAACGTACCTTATGTTAGTGGAGAGAACCAACGAGGAGCAGAGGAAGCAAATAGAGTAAGATCCAAGAGACCTAGAAAGGAGGAGAAATTAGCGATCACGGAGGCTAAGACGACTTTGTTTGGTCAGTTATATGAGGAACTAGGGGGTAAAGGTGGGGACAAGAAGTTATATCGGCTGGCCAAAGTAAGAGAGAGAGAGAGAGAGAGAGAGAGAGAGAGAGAGGAAGACTCGTGACCTGGATCAGGTGAGGTGCATCAAAGACGAGAAAGGTAGAATATTGATGGAAGAGGCCCAGATTAAGCAAAGAGGACAAGTGTACTTTCATAAACTTCTAAATGAAGAGTGGGACTAAAATATTATGCTAGGGGAATTGTGGCACTCCGAGATTCATCGAGACTTTAGGTACTGTAGCCGTATTAAGGTTGAGGAGGTCTTGGGGGCTACGCATAAGATGAATCGGGGCAAAGCGACCGAACTAGACGAGATTCCAGTAGAATTTTGGAGGCATATGGGTAGAGCAGGCTTGGAGTGATTGACTGAGTTGTTCAATATTATTTTCAGGATGAAGAGAATGCTAGATGAGTGGAGATGGAGTACGATGATTCTGTTGTACAAGAACAAATATGATATCCAGAATTGTAACAACTATAAAGGCATAAAGTTATAAGTCATACCATAAAAGTTTAGGATATGGTGGTGGAAGAAAGGGTTAGGAGGGCGGTGTCTATATCAGAAAACCAGTTCAGGTTCATGTTGGGTCATTCTACTATGAAAGCTACCCATCTTATCACACTACAACATTACACATCTATAGCTATGAAAAATATTGTAGCTAAATATGAAAATTTTCGTGGCAAAACACTTTAGCCACAATATTTTTTTCCGTAGCATTCGTAGCAAAATGTAGTGTAGCTAAAAGTTAGCTACAGACTTTACGTGGCCAGTGGCTAAGGATTAATACTTATTGCTACAGAAATTTTGTGTGTTGTAGCAATGATGGTATAAGCTTTTTGCTACGAAAAATATACTTATAGCAAGTGATTTTATTCCTTTGACACGACGAACAAAATTTGTAGCAATCTTCATATTGTAGCCACGAAATATTGTGTTGTAGCAAAAGATTTAATTTATTTGCTTTGCAAACTCAAATTTTGTGTCTATTTTTATAGCTTAGTCTTGTAGCAACAATACTCATCTTTAGCTACAACTTAAAAAATCCATAGCTATGAATTGAAGCATTTGCCATAAACCTTTTCATATTGTAGCTAAAATTTCATACTTTTAGCCATGAAATATATAGGACTATAGCAAACGATATTGTTAATTTGCTACGGAAAGTAAAAATAAATAGCCATGTTCTTGATATGTGGCAATTGTAGGAGTATATGTTTAGGTACAAATTCAAAAATCCATAGCTAAGATTCCACTCTCTTTTGCCATGAAGCATAAAATTGTAGCAATAAATTTTTTTCATTTTCTATGAAAATATAAACGTATAGCCATGTTCTTATTATGCGACAATTATATATATGTTTTGCTACAAATTTAAAAATTTCATTGCTACTAATTAAAAAATTTGCCACAAGCATTATTAGCCATACTGATTCATATAAAGCCTATTTAGAAATAGAATCAAATTTTGGCAATGAAACATATAGGAAATTGTAGCATAAGATCTT